TGGGCGTGCGTGGTTTAGCGGGTTTCCTCTTCTAACCCCTTCTTCCCCTTCGGGGAGGGGCTGATCACTGCTCTTATGTATATATTTATATATTTATATATATATATATATACATATGCTCCCTCCCCCACCCAACAAGCGACAAACCTTGGACCATGACGACACGCCCCCACCATCCCTGTCAAACAATGACGCTACCGAAGAACTCCACATAATTTGTGTAAACCGTGTGCTCACATACCATGTCAACATCTTTTTTAACTCTCAAACATCATGCTCTCGTATCCTTTTCCTCCACGCAAGATCTCAACATTCGCACCGCAACGTTGCGTGAACCTCCTACATGCTCCCCTCCTCCCCTTTCCGTCCTTCTTCCCTTCCGCTCCCCCTGGTCATATTCATTCCTGCACTGCGCTTCTTTGGCGATGGCGCGGCGGGGCGCAGCTCGTCGAAAAGAAGTCCACTGCTTTCGAATGAGCGACGGCTACGGCAGCCCCCCCCCTGCGCACCATCCGCGGTGCCGAGGACGTGTCACGCCTGCCACGCTTTGCGAGCGTGCGACGGATACGGCTCTTACCACCCCTGCGCACCCCCTCTGGCGCCGAGACAACGTAACGTCTGCCACGCTTTCCGACCCTGGCGCGCATAGAGACCGCCCTGAGGCTTTAGTCGCCTCAACTCTGTGCGCGTGTTCGGCACCCGTCCCACTGTTGCATCTACCACGGCTGACTGGCACGATGGCCATTCAGAATTCAAGAGCCATCGGCTACCGACGGGCGCCACCAGAGTGGAAACGGCCACGTACTGAAGAGCGAAAGTCGAAGGGACCTGCATCTTGCTGGGCGGCACCAGCAAACACAAGCTCGAGATAGGGCTGCTTCGTGCACGACGTCGGTGGATCATGCATAATTGAGCCTAACGGGAACTGCGTCAGGCTAAACGGCATTAGCACGGACACGCTGAGGGGACTCGCTTCATGTTCGACGGCGCTGAAGGGCAATGCAAAAGCCCAGCGGGAGTTGCACCATGCTAGACGGCACCAACAAACACGGATTGTAATGGAGTTGCCTCAAAAGTTCCTGTGTAATGCTGAGCTGCTTCATGCTCGACGGCACCAGCTCAAGCATGCTGGAACGGGAACACTTCCTGTTAGATGGCGCTTGATATGTACTCAAACTACGACAGCCGGAATGGGGCTGCAACGCTGTTGGTTTCGCAGGCGCTGTGCCGACTGCATCGTGACTGGCCGCATTGACAGGAATACTGCGCTGACTGCCACGGGGGCAGCAAGGGGCACGGAAAGCAAAAGGGATGGTTGGCTGCGTGAGCCATTGAGGGAAGCCACGTGATCACAGACATTGTCCAACACGAAGCCAGAATGCACAGCTCCGTCACGCTCTGCGCGAGCGGACGGCACCGGAGCGTCACAGGGTTGCTTTGTCGTGCATTGAGCGCACGGAGCGCAGGCGCAGCGGCCGTCCGTTCATGCACATCTCCGCGCCACTCTGCGCGAGTGGACGGCACCTGAGCATTATAGGGATGCTCCTGAGCGCACGGTGCGCCGGCGCGGCGACCGACCGCAGGTGCTCAAGGCTTTGTCGAGGGGTGCTGAACGCACGTGCTGTTCTCCGTGTGCGCCTCCCGTCGGGGCCTTGCCGCGGAGGCCACCGTCAACACTGCGGCTCTCGAGGGCGAGGCGGCTCAGGAGGAGCAGGAGGAGGAGGAGGAGGAGGAGGAGGAGGAGGAGGAGGAGGAGGAGGAGGAGAGGAGGGAGGAGGAGGAAGGAGGAGGAGGAGGAGGAGGAGGAGGAGGAGGAGGAGGAGAGGAGGAGGGAGGAGGAGGAGGAGGAGGAGGAGGAGGAGGAGGGCTCGAGGGCGAGGCTCCTTCTGGAGAGTGCCGAGGAGCACTCGGCACCTCGGCGGCCCACGTGCGCCGCCTCCGGGAGCGTGGCCCCTCCGCTGGCGCGTGCGCGGCGCCCCGCCCCACGGCTGCCGCGGCCGACGGGCACGAGGTCCGCCCGCTGCGTCGGGGCGCCTCCACCTGGGGAGAACGATGACTGGAGAACGTTTCGAACCACGACTGCGCGCTTCTCGGGCGGGCCAGTGTCATGGGTTCATCAAACGGCCCTGTCTGAGGGATCCTGCGGGCGGATCAATCAGTGGCGACCCAGCTCGGCAATGCGCAGGTGTCAAGTCGACAGCCCCCTAACTGCATGGCCCGCTGGCGGCCCCATCTCGAGCTTGCACAAGCGCGCTCCCGATCCGCCACCGTGCCGCGAGGGACTGAGCGGAGTGTCGCTGCATGGAAGGAGGTGGGCGTCCGGGGGGCCTTTCCCCTTATCGCGGGCAGGGAACTGACCTGACCGGCCGTGGCCTCTCGGAGGGGACGGAAGGGTAGGATCGCAGAGGGCAGGGCAGAGACTCGGCTCACATAGCTGCTTGGACTGGTGCCTCCCGGCGCTGGGAGGCGCCCGTGCAGCAAGGAAGGAGCCCGGCGGCAGGGCGGAAACCCGCTGCACGCAGCAGATGTTGTACCCCCCCCTCCGTTTCCCGGTCGAGGAGGCGGAGGAGGATGATGAGGAGGAGGAGGAGGAGGAGGAGGAGGACGAGGAGGAGGAGGAGGAGGAGGAGGAGGAGGAGAGGAGGAGAGGAGGAGGAGAGGAGGAGGAGGAGGGAGGAGAGAGGAGGAGGAGGAGGAGGAGGAGGAGGAGGAGGAGGAGGAGGAGGAGGAGGAGGAGGAGGAGGAGGAGGAGGAGACGGTCCTACGTTTCCCGGTCCTGCCCCCTCGTCCGGCTGCGAGCCTCCCAGGAGCACAGGCACAGCTCGCGGCCGTGGGGCCAGGCGCCGAGCCGGCACCGGGCCGGGGCGCCGCCCGTCGCAGCCCGC